AATTCACAGCCACAGAGGCTCTGCGCACAATCGCAGCCAAACGGGGAGGCTGAATCTTGTGATTTCCCTGCTTAGGCTGCACTGCGGACCTTGAGGAGCCGTGGCACATGCGTAATCTGACACACCCCCCCAAATCATTTGTGCTCATGCAGGGGATAGTGTTGGTGGGGTAGAATCATAATCATAAAAAGCTCATTAGAACAAACAACCACTATCGTGTCATGCTACTGCCTGGCAGAGGCCAGGGCCTTCGTTGCCCAGATTCCAGACTAAATTAGTTAAATCCAACTTCCAAAGGCTTCACTTAAGTCTGAGCACAGACAAGAGATCAATAGTCTCTCTCTCTCACACACACACATAATGTTGAGTTCTTCTAGTGATGTTCAGGCCTGATTTCAATATTCTGGCAATGCATATCAGCCATCATCAAACGTGAGTTGTTTATAAATGTTACATAGAAGTACTTGTGGAAATTGCTAGGGAAGACCATAACAAAGGCAGTATTCAGGTTTCAAAATATCCTGTCCAGAACACTAAAAAACCTGGTTATTCTTTTCTAGGACCTAACTGTGCTCTCTCTCTGCAAACTGCCCAGAAGCAGTGCAGCTCTGCAGTCTGCCTGAACATAGCTGGTGAGGATCCGGACTACTGGTTGGTCTTCAGGGAGAACATTCTCTCACAGACCTGGGGGAATAAAGCTCTCCTGGCCTCCTCTAAAATGTGTCCCTAAGGGAACAGCAGAAGCTCTGAGCTGTTTGAAGCCTGTAGGCTCATACGCATCCAGCAAACTGGTACTCTGTGGGCCACATAGTGCTTGCTACTTGGGCCCTTGGCACTGCCAAAATATTTTGGGTCCGTAAAGGCCTGCTAGGCCAGGGCTGAGTGCCACGGTAAGAGAAGAAAGAAATAAACCGGAGAAGGAAATACCCCCGCCCCAGAACTCCAAACTAAGAAACAAAGCACAATGACACTATAACTGCTACAAACACGTACAGCAACAGGGGGAAACTATCCACAATTGTGTGTGTGTGTGTGTGTGTGTGTGTGTGCGCACTCACATATGCACAAGTCCATTTGTAGGGTGTTCGTGAACCTGGCATGAAATAATGCATGCCAAGCACTTCGAATATTGTGTGGCACCAATTGAACGCTATGTAATCATTATTATGATTGCTTTAAAACAGGCTTGTATCCATGATGGATCCATCAAAAGAGTTAAACACACTGGTTACTCAAGATACTTGCTTCTCAGTCAGATCTTAACAAGAGCTGGTCAAATTGTAAGAGGGCTCAGCTTCAAATATTCATATTAGTACCAGAAAAGAAAGACAAGAATGGGAGCAATTAAGATGATGCTACTCAGTGGGACAAAAGCAAGGTAGCAGCTGAATAAAATCACGAGGAGACCAGAAAACTTTTCAGAATGTACCTGCCCTTCCTCACCCCACACTGAATGTAAGGAGTCTCGTAAACTTGTAACCTTTCTCCCAAGCTTCAAGAAATCAAGTGCTGAACTTCTTTTTCTGCTTGCTTTCCTTCTACTGGAGGTTGGAACCGTCTGGCTTTTCACCAGTGTGATGGTCAGGCTCTCTGTTTCTTTAACACAACTTAGACTGAATCTCCCTGTTCGACATCTGGGCTCAGGGGAGGCTGTCCATAGCTGTGACTTGTGAATGTCTACATCCACCGGAGTGCTTGTCACACATGAGCCTCATTCATCGTCCTACTCAATTTTCTCTTCAAATAATCATGCTCGAGATGTATTTAGAACCCTGGAATACGAGAGCTGGAAGGAGCCTTAGGTATCAATCAGCCCAACCTCTTCATTTTACATTCAAAATTGATAACCAGAGTGCCATCAACTTTGCTTCTGGCATAACGAGGGCTGCGAAGACTGGGAATATGGGGAATACTCCTGTTCCCACTTTCCTTGAAAGGCCAAGGTCACAGCCACCCTTCTCTCTGCTAGCCTCACACAGTTTGCACTATTTCCATTCTGCTGCCAGCTGAGGCAGCTTCTAAAGCACCAGCCTTTTGTTGCTGAGGGAAGAACAAAACCCTGGCCTCCCAGCAGCAGAGAGATTTATAAGAGCTCAAGGAAGGTCAAAAGGGTAAATTACCCTGTGACTTCGATGTAATCAGCATCTTTCTAGCGTACTATAGGATAAGGCTGATTACAGGGAAGGCAAAGGTGAACAAACAGGGGCATAAATAACCACAGAAAATGAAGCTTGAACAATTTATGATCCTCATTTTTTCTTCTGGCGTTACACAGCATTCTGCTAAATCTTTTTTGTGAGAGCTTTTGGGAAGCACAAACCTTAAAAATTCTTCCCCACTTTATCTAATAGGAAGTGACTTTTTTATTATTTGGGATTTTCTTTAGGTCTAAAAGTCAAGAAAGTAAGATCATAGATTGGAAAATTTCTCCAGAATGAGGAGCCGTAACTCTTGAGGTATCATTTCTGTTTGGAAGAATTAGGGAAGGCTTCAGGGAGGAGGCATAACTTTCACATTTCTTTTCGTTCTCTCCTGTGTCATTCTTTGTTTCCTTTCATAGACGACTGAGAAATTACACTGAGGCTAAACTGAGATGCCCCCCCCCCCACACACACACACACTCACACACACATACACACACACACACTCACACACTCTGTGCATATAAATCTCAAGTGACCATCACGTTACCACATCCCGGGAAGTTTCTGTTTCTAGTTAACCTCAGAGCAGAAGCCTTGTCTACTTAGTTTACCACTGTCTGCTCCCAAGCAGGCATAATGCCTAGAGCTGAGAAGACATGCCCAATAAACAGCAGTTGAAAGAGTAAGTGAAGGACCATGGAAGCAGATCCTTGGGGATCTGTGTGCACATGACTTTAAATCAAATTGAGAAGGACATATGCCTAGGCAGAATCCCCCCAACCTTTACCCTCCTTCTCACAGGGTTCCAGTGCTTTGCAAAATGTAGAGTACTAGTTAAATGGCGCAATGAATACTTCACAGAAATCATTCAATAAAGTAACGATAATAGACCTAGAGGTTTTAGGATGGCCCTGTTCTATATAAAATGTACAAAGTTAAGAATAAAGTATAAAGGGCGGGGGATTTGGCTCAGTGGTTCTGCTCTCTGCCTTGGGAGCACAAGGGCCTGAGTTTGATCCCTGGTACCACACACACACACACACACACACACAGAATAAATTACAAGTCCTAACTAAATTATAAGTCTCTACGTAAATGCTATAGGACATAAATAATATCCAAATGATACTGATATTTCCCCTAAATACAATCCATTTTACAATAAATTCGTGTGACGGATTTTCTTATATAGTCACCAAGTTCATATCCATACCGAAGACTGGCTGTCAGCTAATGGTCATAGTACGTAGGGACTATTAGCACATTTATTAATCAGGGCATTTTAAATGTTTTTGGTGAGAGAGGAATCATGTTAGAAGCCATGTATTGATCTATAAAATCTTCAGTTCATGTGAAGTGATGATATCTATATTTCTCAGTGGTACTTTGTAATTCTACACAAATGCCAGTATGGATTTATAGGAAAATGGATACATATTGAAGATGTACTCCTAAGTGAAATAAATAAGTCACACATGTGTAAATACCGAATAGTGTCCCTGGTGTGGATTTAGTAGACACTTTTCATAACAAGGTTTTGTTAATTCTACAAACCTTTGGTAAATATATCTGCATATCCTGTATGATAGCAACATTCAAGCTTCTAAAATGGAAATGTTATGTGTATGTACCAGTTCTCTGCAGTGAATGTAGTTATCATATATTGAAACATGCACTGATAAAAGCAAAAAGAGATTCTAAAAGAATTGAACTCCTCCCTTTTTCTCCTGTTGCAAAGATGATTAATAATAGGTTCTCCAATTCCTCACCTTCCTTTTTTTATTGGTACTTCCACACCCTACTTTCAGCTCTTTCAGCTCCTGTTCTAACTTTAAAATTGTTCTTCTCACCTCTAGTTTCCTCCCACCTTTGTCCATTATCCAAAGCACCAAATGATTTTTCTAAATACAAATTCCACCATGTTATTTCCCTGCTCCAAGCCACATTGCCATCAGTCTCCATAGTTTGGTGTTGAAGCCCTTCCTAATTCGCCTGCAGCCAACCACATCTTCCTCATCCTTGCCTTCCTCCCCTTACAGTCTAGGCTGGAGTCGTACCAGATGCCTCTTCACAACCAAAACGTGCTACACACTTGCACAAGTCTTTGCTTTTTGCATCTACTCTTTTCTGATCCGTCTTTTACAATTCTACTTATCCCTTTAGGTCTAGCTGTAGTGCAAATTTTACTAGGTCTTCCACTCCAGGTTGAGACTAGGCTGCCCCTTTCATGGCGTTCACAGCTCTTCATTAGCATTCATTTTATACATGACTTTATGCACCACTTGATTAGAAACTTCTTAAGGATTAGAGCAGTAGCTTTGCATAGTGTTTAATAAATGTTTGTTACATACATGAATGAATGAATGAATGATTTAATTATTTCCTTCTGCTCTGGATGTCAGTCAGCATTCAAAATAGTCCTTTTACATTTACGAAGCTCTCTATTTTCATGTAGTCTAATGAGGCATTGTAAATTTACCAGAGGTCCAGGAAAAGCAGTGTAATAAATGGGAAAGTATTTTTAAGTAGGCATGTGTGGGCATTAGCTTAAACCTTTTCAAGACAGACGTTACACTCCAGAAAACATGAATGAGCATGTTTTTTTCTTTTTTGAAGGCTTTGTTGCATAGTAGCTAGGACTGAAAATTTCTTCTTTATTTCCATGTTTCAATATCCCCCCTTGCTAGTGTTTTCCATATGAAAAACATCCATGAAATTCTTTTATACAGACTTCTCTATGGTGTCCTCCAAAAAGTGAAAAGAAATATATTTTCATATTAATTGTTCTTGATTTTCGTCAATTTATGAGATTTCCAAGCATCTTGCAGTAGCATGGTTTAAAAACTAAATTGCTAGATGCCCTTGTGATTCATGAGCTTGACGATTAGGTTTTTGTAACATCATGTGAGATGTTATTCTTAGAACCTTATTACAGCATTGGCACATTACCTATCTGACGTGAAAAAACAAGCCTCAATTGCTGGTTGCAGGTAAAAAGTATTTGTTCAATTTACAGAACTGGAAATTTTTTTATTTGAAAATTTAATCCACAGGTTTACTTTAGGGTAATTAGAAACAGCACAAGTTTTAAAACAAGCCATAGAATCATGCATTTTTAAATTACATTTGGTTTTAGGACTGATTTTGTCCAATGTAGGTGACAGATTCAAGGAGGCTTCAATATCATTACTACTTCTACCAAAAAATAGACTTTGGTAATATCACCCATATTGCATTTTTAACAATCTACACAGCACTTTTAAATTTCCCGGCTCTGGGGGCCGGGGATGTAGCTTAGTGGTAGAGCACTTGCATAGTATGTGCAAGGCCATGGATTCAGTCCCAAGCACTGCGCTGCATTCACTCACTCACTCAATCAGTAAATGAAACCTCCCTGCTCGAAAGATGAGCAAAATTAAAGAATTGTTAATTTGTCTACTGAAGAATTGAGCCAGAGACCTATGTAATTATTTACCAAATTAGCTTCTACCGTTTAGTTCTATAGTCATGACATGGTTTCAGTGTTTGTAGCACTCATGAGTGCCATTCTGGGTTCTTAGGAAAACAACAAACAAAAGAAAATGAAACAAATAAAGCTAGAAGTTTCATATATCACCAGCTAGCTCTTTACTGTAATTCAGCAGCTTTTGTAGTTGCAGAGAGAGGTTTCCGGATCTACAGCCATCTGAGCAGTCCCAGAGCTGGATGAGAAAGGCTTATGGTGGCTGACTCCTCTGGTCCAGAAGAGAGCACAAGCTCTCCTCTCTCCCAGGCTTGGGCTTCTGGACTACTTGGTGCTATTAGAATTTTGTCAGAAGAAGAAATCAACAGGAATTGTGCTGAGTGGTTTTTATTCCTTTTTTTAAACAAAATGAACATACACCTGACATACAGTCTGAGTTTTCTAAGTCACACCAATACCCAAACAGCTCTTCAATAACTGATGTCTTTCAGGTCCAGAAAACCAAATACATCAATCAAAAGCAAAGTTGTCTACACACCTTGTTCATTTGCACTCTCAATAAGAGCCAGAGTTTGCGGGACAGATATAAACAGAAGACTGATAGGAAGTCCGTGGTCTCAGGGCTCTGAATGCTCTGGGCTTCCAGGACAGCGCTGGGGTTTCACCTTGAGCTCTCCATATGCGCCTAACGAATGTTTACTAGAAGTCTTTTCATGGGGTTTGGGGAGATTTCGCTTGTACAATGCTGGCATGATGTGACCTTTCTAATTTACTATTTAAGGAGTTTTTCAGGGGATTTAGCTCAGTGGTTCTGCTGCCTGCCTTGGAAGAGCAAGGACCCAAGTTCGATCCCCAGTTCCAAAAAAAAAAAGAAGAAGAAGAAGAAGCTTTGCTAGGAACAGCAAGAAAACTTTTCCAGGTGCCATTTAATAGAAATCCTCACTTTTTGAAAACATCTTGATTTGTAATTATGCAATAGAATTCAATAGAAATATTCTGATGGTGGCAGTTGGGATTTCATCATTTCCACCTTTGTGTTAACTTACTGTGTCAACTTTTCGAAGTTCCCTTCTTCTCAAAACCCTTCTGTTTTTGATGATCTTCAATGGAGGAAATTCTGCTCCTTTCTTTTTAGGGCAGTTCTTATGAGTAAAATTGTTATTCTTGTGACCACAGCTAAGTTGAAAGAGGTTTAAGTGGAAGAGTTTTTTTTAAAATTACCCTATTTCTTTCCTACAATGAGTACTCAAATCATTTTTTTAACTTGCCCTAAAAAAACAAATTTCTCTTCTCCCGCTGCAAAATTATCTGACTATTTTCCCTTGCAATACATTAGGGAGATAACAGCAGTCTGTGCACAAAACAGGGGCATCGCATTCCTAGCACTGCAGCATCTTCAGCCCTAGGTGCTTTTTATTTTTCAGAAACACATATGGACAGAGCCTGAATTTGCTAAAAAGTTGTAGAGGTAAATAAAAAGGACTTAAATGAAGAAGTACCCATGCTTGTATTTTGTTCAAGACCGCAGGTAAAAGGACAATGTGATGAGACACAACTTGTCAGAGAAACCATGGCCTGTAGGATGCTCATAAAGCAGATGCCATACCTAGAAGCAGATAGGCCTCAGTCAAGGGGAATTTGTGGCAGCCTCACCATGTGGAGTCCCCGGTGTCAGAGACGTATAGTAGGTTACACAACTCGAGAGACCCATTGCAAACTGAAAAGGCAGTGACCCTTGTTTAGAAGTAATTATAATCTCATGAGCCATCAGAGCAGCAGAGCACTAAACCGAGTGCAGGAAACTTGTAAGCTTGAGGCCTTGTGCGGCCGCACAGGTTACATGCATGTACAGCTGGCTCCGCACATGTCTAAGACCTGGATGGCCTATATGGATCCCAGATAAGCTTGAATTCCCTGTCCATGTAGTCTCAGGTAATCTCTCTCAGGACCAAAGCCCTCCAAAGTCCCATCACTTTAGAACTGAGGCAGAAAGCAATGCTATTTTTCTTCGTACATGTTTGTAGGACATGATGTTTACATCCATCTCAGGGAGTAGGTCCATGGACTTAGCGTGTCTTAATTCTTTTTATTATCCTTCTCCTTCTCATTCTCTTCCCTACCTGTTTATAGATCCCCACCCACCCAATCTCCTCCTCCTCCTTCTTCTTTTCTTCTTCTTCTTCTTCCAACACATAGTGATTATAATCACTGTAGAAAGAGGACCAAAATTCCAAAGCTGGGGGAGGGAAAAGGGGCATAAAAAGATTTGGGGTATGTTGCACATATGTACTAATCATCCACAGTGGATATAATCATATTCATCATTATGATTAGAGAGAAAAATGCTGTTTTTCTTTACCCATTGTACTTTATGCCTTTTCCTAGAGAATATGGTATTATTATGCAAAATATGCTCATGATAAAAGGTGGATGCATTACCAAATATAACTCTCTCCAGGGTCAATCTGTCCTCTCCGCTGTGGACATCCTGTGGTTTAGCATGGGAGGAGGGTCTTTTGGCTTCCTCTACTCTCCACCTCCCTAATGGTAAGGACTCGTCTATTTAATTCTGAATCAACATCCCAGCTTCCTGGAGCAAAGTCTCCTCTCTGCCAAACATTCAGCTCCCTATTTCTGCCAGCTGCCTTGTTGCCTCCCTGTTAATCCAGGGAGACCTCCCAGTGAAGGAGGGGGCAGGATATCGAGTTGAGACCTGGCAGAATTGGTCACAAATGCCCCTTTGCCACTGTTCGCTTTGGATAACAAATCTGTTCTATTTGTAAACTATTAGCCCATTGATCCACATAAGCACTCTGTAAGGGAAAGGTGATCATCGTCATTTTGTTCGAATGATGAAACTGAGGCCCGGAGAAGTTACGTGAATTGCCCAGGTCACAGAGCTGCTGAGTGGCAGAGCTGGCTTTCAAGCTTTGGCACACTGGCTTCAGAGTTCCTTGTCTCTGGCGTTTATCTGTGCTAAATCCTATTGTGGCACTACCTGGCTCCCCGCTCCGAGTCGCTGGGTGACTGCAGCCAGCCATAAGATGACTCAAGTTCAGTTTCCTCATTGAAACACAGATATAACAATTTCCAGGGGTCATTATAAGGATTATCATTAAAAATGTATGTGATGTACTCGATAAGTCCTCATACAAGTATTAGTGGTTCTGAAACCTTTGTTTTACTTGAAACATCTTCCACGATTTATAAAATCAAGTCTGAATTTCTTGTGGTTTTCAGAAGTATCAGAAGGTAAATTAAGCCTGTCACGCCATTCTCTTCTCTGTACCCTTCACGCCCATTCTTGTTTTTACATTTTTTTCAAGCTTGCTGACTTCCCAATGCTTTCCTCAATTCAGGGCTCTTTTTGTGTCCTGCCTGCTCCAAGCAGCCTTCTCAGATAATGCCAGTCTAGTCTTTATTGATCTTTCTCTTTTCTGATCCTGACCTCATGTGTCCTTTTCAAGGATAAGTAGCTCATCTGCCCAAATTGGTTATAAATTCCCTGAGAGCAAGCACTTTATCTTATTTCAAGTGTATATTTGGTCTTTCCCCAGCCGGCAGGAGGTCTTTGCAGCAGTTTGTGTGGCTAGCAAGTTTTCCCTTTCCCCCCAGTCTCTTGCAGCAGCACTGGGCAGCCTGGCCTTAGGGAACACTTGTAGATTTGTTTTAGATGTGCACAGCATCTGCTCAAGTGTTCAACACACAGTGAGAACGCCATAAATCATATTTTTAGAGAAAATCTATTGCCACATAAGGACTACCAGAAATTACTCATACTCTTTGTATAAATGGATTTATACAATTATGATGTTTAAGAGCTGAAATAAAGATGAAGGAAAGAAAATCACAAGGCTTTTTTTTTTAAGTCAAAAGGAGCACTAGAACTTCCAGCCTAAATGTGTTCACTGGTGTATCACAGAACAGATGTAAGGTTTGTTGAAAATATATTTATTATTAAAGACAGTGTTTCAGGTTTGAGAATGATTTACTATTTTTAATGAATTAAAGTAGATTTCAGTTTCCCTTAGTAATGAGCTTGTTTTTATTCTATTGCTTTCTTGAGTGAGAAAGCTAAGTGTAACTTCAGATGAGGCATCTCATACACAGAGGAGGGAAGGATGCGGTCCAATGTCACCCAGAGAGTTGCTAGCAGCATGGAAGCTAAATTCTAGGACTTTTTGTCCTCAAGTCCTCCTCTATCAGGGAATGAGAAGGAATCAGTGTGAATGAAGAATAAATCAAGACACAATCTGGTAAAATTGAAATTCTTGCAGAATGAAAATATTTGCCTCCTGGTTAACGATCAATCAAAGCCTGGGAAATGTGTCTCTCGAGGAGTGAAGACAAGAAGGATTTGAGAAAGTCCCTATTTCCTGGCTCTGTTATAAATCACATGAGAACCTACATATTTATATTTACGCCTTTCTCCTAAGACTTGACTTTATCTTTGTATTAACATTCATCCTTGGATATTTGATTATTTTTCTAGAAAG